CCGGTTCCCCCGCCACTCAGGCAAATGGCTCCCGGAAGTCCCGCCCCATCCTGCAGGGCCTCTGGGTGGCTCCCCGCTGTCCACTCTCCCTCCGTGCTCCGGCGCGCGGATGGCCGGCCACGCCCCGGGAGGTCTCCGCTTTGTTCCGTGTCCGGCCCTCTTTGGACTGTAGGCTGCGCGCTGGGGCCTCCTGTCTTCCCTCCAGCTGCATCCCTCCATCCCGCGTTAAATGTCACCGCCGTGCAGAGATGACATTTGGGACCATGTGGCGTGACCTCGCGCTGACGCCATTCCCTTCCCTCCAGCCGACCTGACTTCCTTCTCCACCCCAGATTGCTGCAAGCAGGAGGGCCTTGAGGCTCCAAGGTTAACGAGGCAACCCCATACATTTATGATGGAATTTCTGTTTCCAGGACGAAAGTACGGATTCTGGGGGACTGCCTCTGTAGGGGGATGGCGAGTCACAGTCTTTTCCTTAATGATCCATCCGGTTTAGGGGAAGACATACATATGGTCAATATTGAAAACAGGAGGCCCAGTGCACGAAACTCGTGCACTGGAGGGGGGTGTACCTCAGCCCAGCCTGCGCCCTCTCGCAGTCCTGCAGCACTCAGGGATGTCTGGCTGCCGGCACTGCTCACCATGAGCCCAGCTTCTGGCTGAGAGGTGCTCCCCCTGTGGGAGCACACTGACCACCAGGGGGCAGCTCCTGTGCTGCACGTTTGCCCCCTGGTGGTCAGTGTGCGTCATAGAACCAGTGGTTCCGCTGTTGGGTCGATTTGCAGATTAGCCTTTTATTATATAAGAAGGATAATATCTATATATATCCTATCTAATAATAGAGAAACATGGTAATTAACCGTAACTTCACTACCCTTCCTATTGGCTAACCAGCGAGATATGCAAATTAACTGCCAACCAAGATGGCAGCCGGCAGCCATGCAGCTGAAGTGAACATGAGGCTTGCTTGCTCCAGTGACGGAGGAAGCCAAGGTTCCCCGCCTGCCGCAGCCCAGCTCTGAGCTCCAGATGCAACAATGTTGCAATTATAGAAGCTAAACAAACCCAGAAACCTGCTTTCAGCCAGCCACAGCCTCAGAGCTGGAGCCGGCTCTCAGCTCCAGTGACAGCTATAGAAGGTAAATAAATCCCAGAATTAAAA